TTCCCGGGTCACTTCATTAAACACGCATTGCGAGCCAGCTGTAATTCAGGGAGACGCTATTCCATGCTGTTGCACCACTGGGGGGAAAGCAACTCTAAACCGCTTTAGTTCGCATGTATGGCAACTAAAACGACCAAAATGCCAATGTCACGCGGAGCGCGGGTTGAGTGTACAGCTGTTGCTAGTCGAGCTGGCAACAGCTGTACACTCAACCCGCAGCTGTACACTAACAAAGTGACCATGTTAGTCTGGGAAGGTTCATCCTTTCTTCAGAACCGATAAGTGAGAGAATCACGTAACATAGCTTTGGCCATGCCAGCTCTCAAGTCTTGAAACAAAAACCCCGATTTCCGGCGTTGCAGTCTCCGTGGGCCGCGCCGGGTCTGTCCCTTCGCTAATATTAAGCGGTGGTCGGTGGGCGGATGAAAAGGGCAACGTTTCTGAAAGAAGCACCTGCGAACGCTGTGAGATGTCGATTCATGCGTGTAGAACGCAGTCCGGAGCATGCTTCTCCAGGACAGTGTACACACACACACACACACACACACACACACACACACACACACACACACACACACACACACACATATATATATATATATATATATATATATATATATATATATATATATATATATAATAGCAAGGGATATGTGTTCAAAGCACTGCGAACCCGTGCTAGAATTTGGTTTTGGAACTAGACAAGTAAGCATGATATCCCCTTTTCTTGCTGCTGGCGCTTTTGATCTGTCCATGGGACATCATCAAGATTTTACATGCGAAGTTTCACTCGCCAGTCTAATTTCTGAGGCGTACGAATTCCTTTTGAAAGACTCTCGGAGGCATTATTTCATGACGGCTGTTCTCGTGCGACAGGCGCCGCCGTCCGGTGTAGGCCTGTCAATGCCACTCGGTTTGATGGAAACTGTAACCTCGGCCGTCGGTGCTTTTGCTTCGAAGACTGCGAGAATTGCAAGTCCAAAATTTTAAAAAATAATTTGCTTGACATATCTATCCGGAGCTAGAATGAACACAAGGGTGTAACTTTATAAAACAGGGGAGGATGAGCCAGTTAAGTTAACCTGTCCTGGCCAAGATGCTCCCGGGCGGCCGGTTGGATACCCTTCGCTCGAGTTGAAGGTCAATTTGACCCCATGGTATCTCAGGAACTAAGAAAGCTAGATACCAAATTCACAGGGTGTGTTGACCTGTACGTGAAATCACTCCGGTCAAAGTTTGAGGTTCTAGGTCATGACATTCTGGTCAAATAAGGTCAAACAATGTCAAATTTCAGGTTCGTCTCCCAAGGGCCCCTAGGACCTGCATAACTGTTCTAAGCAAAAGGTCACATGCTCATCTAAGGTCAGTGACCTTGTTTAACCTTTTGAAGGTCATGGTGACCAAAATCATACAAGAGCGCTTTGAGCTTTGCATTTGAATAAGCGACAAAGAGTACGCTGGGCAGTACGTTCCTGAAAACAAAATGTTGACCTAGATAATTCCAGGTCAGTGACCTATTCCGATCTTGAAAAATATATGGGAGGTGCGCAATGAGGTTCGTGTTATCAATGAATCCGAAATAAGCGCCAGGAACTGCCTCATAGAGCAAGCGCTAGAGTAATAAAACAGGCTGGTTTGACATTGGTCTGACGTTCATACCTGACCCTAGGTCAATGTAACTTGTTCATTCAATTGTTGTGTCGCTTAAGAAGGTATCTCAGAGATGTATGACTTCGACTAACACTCCGTTGTTGGATCAGATGGAATTATTCCTTAGAAATTGCCTTCGCTGAAACCGTGGCCGGACTTCAAATCTGCCATAGGTCAAAGACCTTACAAGGAACACCTAAATTTCTGATGCCAGAGAATCCGCTATTCGACTTGCCTACATCTATGCGAAGTTTGGCGCGGCTATGCCTTGCCCGTTAGATAGCCTTGGCCTTGCCGTACGGAAACCATTTTGGAAAAACCTTCGGGGAGGGGGTCAGTTTGACCTCGCACCCGAGCGCGTATAAAGTCCCGGTAACTTCTGGAATTTTGGACACTCTGATTTGCGTGTCCTGATCTTAAAATTGAGCTTAAAATCAATTGTTTGGTCGGTTTCAAAATTGTTTTGATGTTGGGAGAACTACTTCCCTTATGGAGCCAATGTGACAGTTACAGTGATGATATATGAAGATGAGGATATAGATCGTGATGCGCTTAGGACCTGTGCCCTGCTCGCAGTGCGGACAGGTCCAGTGCTGTTAACTGGCCCAGTGTTTCATTTTTCGTCCATATGCATTTGAGGCGAGGCTTCAGAATAGCAATAAAGTAGATTGAAGAGTGCCCCACATTTGTAAATGGTTTGGAAATGAAATAGGCTTTTTGAAAATCATTCGGTGCAGTTCACAACTCTAACCTTGTTAAGAACAAAAACCCTCTATTTTCTTAGCTTAACGCTCGCAAAGATGTGCGACTGCTTCGTGCTGATTATTTCAACGCCATTCAGGCATGCATGACGCGATACCAACGCCATTCAAATCCTGCCACCCCATAGGCCACACGGCATTCAAGGCCAACCACAGAATGTTCGTTGAGCAGTTTAGGCCCTGCGTCCGTGGGCATGATCTTCAACTATAGTAGTCTTTTATTGGCTGTCGCTCAATATTGAGGAAATTGAGGTTTCAATTACGGATCACGATTCGCGCCACGTAATGGGAGAAGTTGGACGTGGTTGGTAGCTATTACGGAAATGAGACTTATGATAGAATAGCTTGAAAATAGCGCTATAACCGAGGATATGAATGCAAGCAAATTTCCTAACCCACGGCGAAATGTGAAAAAAACACCACGAGCAACGGCCAAAAGCACAAGCGCGTACCGATATTTGACTCAGCGAACATTTCCAGCGCCGCCGATGCCATCTTTCGGCGAGTTGAAGTACTACATTTGAGGGCTTGGGCGGCGACCTTGCACTGCTAGTTTGGCGGAAGCGTTATGTCATACAAACGTTCCATGACGCAATCGCACATTGACCTATTGCTAATGACATTTGCTTAATTGGGAAATTCTGTCATCATGAGCAGTCTTTTCCACTTAAAATGTACCAACACTCACAAGCTCGCTGATTTCATCATATCTGATGTTTATTTCAATAGCTTCAAAAGTGGAACATTCTCTTAAGCATTATGGGGGAGGGGGAGGGGACTGAGGTACTCTGAAAGCATGCAAGGTGACACCCCTGGATGGACATCCTTATTTCTGTTGGCCTTTTTCTTATTTTTTTCTCTGATTTTCATCCGTCCCCGTCTCTAAAAACACGACAAAGAGGTCCCTGACCAACGCAAGAAGTCCTCTAGCACTCTGGGTCCGGTCTCTATTCCCGATCTGCAAATGTTTCCCTGGCCGACTCAGAGCCCCTTACTGGCACAAATCCCTATGTTAGGCACTGTGGGTCCCTGGCCAACGCAGGATCCTCATTGTTTAGGGGTCCCGACCAATGTAAATCAGCTGGTCCCAGCCTTGTCCTTGCTTGGGAAATAGGCTCCCAGGGCTCAGACCTGACACGGCAGCCGGCTGTTCGTTATGTGTGGTCTCTGACCAGAATAGAGGCCCTTATCGTCATAAACGATGGTGTCCCCAAACGGTGCAAGAGACTCTGACTGGCATTTCACGGCGCGCTCCTGCAGACCGGGGTCCTTAATGAGACCTACAGCGAGCTCTTGGTACCTTCCAGTCAGGCGCTTGATCGAAGGCCCTTCTGCGGACCTCCTCGAACACTGCCCCAGGCCGATTCTGAGCTCCTTGCCATACATGACCCTTGTTTTGCACTGTAGTCCCCAGATCGATACAAGGGCCCTTCATTGTCTCAGGGGCCCTGACCGATGTAAGTCGTGGGCAACGGCCTTATCCCTGCTAAGGAAATAAGCCCTCAATCCTAGACCTGACGCTGGAGTAGTTTGGTCGTCAATCCGTCGCGTGTCACGGTCGTTAAGCCTCGACCGCAGGAGTGTAATTTTGCAAGATAGGCTTGGGGAGGGGGGACTGAGCGGGAAGCCCTAACTTTAACTACACTAAAGATAGGGATTTTCCCGATTTGAGCCACTTTCCTCTCAACCTGATAAAGTTTGATCTACACCCAACTGAGTAGGAAACTACAGTACTCCTTTAACACGCGCCCGGGTGGCCGGTTGGACACCCTTCGCTCGGGGTCGGGGATGGGGTTCACTTTGATCCCTCCTGAGATCTCAGGAACTGAAAAAAGCTAGAGGCACCAAATTCACAGGCTGTGTTGACCTATACGCTAAATCACTTAGGTCACAGTTTCAAATTCCTAGATTATGACCTTCTGGTCAAATAAGGTCAAACAAGGCCAAATTTTAGGTTGGCGTTCAAAGAGCCCCTGGGACATAGATGACTGTTCTAAACAAAAAGTGGCATGTTCATTTAAGGTCAGTGATCTTATTTGACCTTTATAAGATTATGGTGACCAAAATCATACAAGACTGCTTTGCGTTTTACATTGTTTCCATATTCCAAAGGTTCATTCAACCATTGTCGGCCAAAAAACTGTTAACGTTTCTTGATATCAACATTTGACTGGTTTGTTTTCCATTTCCGACAAGACATCATAAGTGCGAAAACCATGAGCCTGACTGCGTGATCCTGACTACTGACATCATCACTTACACGTCTGACATAGCACGGGCGATGCACTTGCAGTTTAGTTCGAATTTTCAAAATTCACACAGAGCTCATTTATGATAAGCTGTCAACAACGTCAGCATAAACACAAAAAAGAATGGCTATTTATCTCGAAATTTCCGTGCAATAGCCGGGTTGGCTAAAACTAACAGGCGAACAACACCGTTCGGAAGATTACGCAACGCACGGGGCCGCGCGCAGAATGCTTCAGTGACGTCACGCTACCAATGGACGGATGGGGCGCTAAAATCGCCCGATGATCATGAGCACTTTATACGGCCTTGGCTCCCGGCGATTTCCTCGGAATTTGCTTGTTTACTTATTGTGTTGGGGGTTGTTATTCGACGCTCCGAATATGATATGCGTGATTCTGGCTGCTGGCCAGGCTGATAAGCTGGAAAATGACATTCGAGTAAGAATGGCCGTTGGATGACTTGGGTCCTTGAATGTTGGTGTATTATTTAGGGCACACAAACCGGCATAGTATAAGAGGTACACTAGTGAGGGCACTACTACAGTCCGTCAGTAAATGTGGTAACGTCTCGGCAGCTTAGAGTTATATTCAATGAATTTAGGTGTTGGAGCTACTACTTCAGTGGACATTGTGGGCACAATATGTTTGCATCTAATAAGCATGAATCACATTACCCATGCTCATGTCTGATGTGCACTGCACCAATTAAGTATGAATTGTACTGAAAGCAGGCTTTGGGCTGGTGTTGATGAGGTAGGGGTGATAAATTAGGTTATTAAATCTGTCACCAGGATTGCCATCAATGCTTGTTAATGAGATTCAGCATCAGCAACTGTTCAAGAGCTGGGCTGGTGCTGTATTAGTGGTGACAGCCTCACTATATTCAGATTCAAAACCCTCAATGACTTGCGGGCCCAGGGGATGAATGGATCCTTATATCCCATACACCTCTTGTACTAATATACATGCGCCCTATTCACCCCACCCCACACCCATGTAGGCAGTGAACTCTCCATCAATCTGCTATCTCTCCATGGTGCTGGGTGGCACATGCATTTGTATCACACAACCTCATCCTGGGGTTCCCTGCCCTGGACCATCACATCACCACTGTCCACCCCACCCCCTGAATAGATGATATTGACTAGGTGGCCCTGTTGTGTAATCATTACTTATTTGGGGTTGTGTAACATTGCTTACCTGCCATTGTGTAACATTGCTTACTTGCTGTTGTGCAAAGATCAGTTAGGCCACAAACATTGTAATATATTGTATTTGCTATTCCAAATGAACCAGATCTTAAAGACCAAGACCCATGGGTGTAACTAGGCCCCAGAGATTGTAGAGTACAAATCTGGATTGGATGAATGAAACTTCTTGGTGTCCTGAGAAGACAGCCTGACTGGAAAATGCTATTTTGAATAGCAAATACAGGGACATACATTCTGTTGGCAAGATTATACAAGTTGGGGCCCATTTTGTAAGACTGGGGTGATATGTCTTCCCCTCAGCCTCCATTAGTTACATCCATGCTTAGACCAACAAAACATCCAATGATACAATATTAGGATACTGGATGCACTGCACTAGTGGCTGCCATTCCAAGTCATTCTTAATTGGCATACTGAATGAAGACACAGTCATATAATCTTGGATGAGAAGATGAGCCAACAGTGACCCTTATTACAAGTACATTTCAGCAGAATGTGGCTGCACTCATTCAGTGCCAAAATGTGATACTCTACACCAGTTATCTAAAGTAGAAGCCTTAAGTTATTGTCATGCAGCAGGTCATGCCAATATGGAGTAAATGTGTACATATGTGTAGCAGGTCAACAAAATGATTAAGCTCAACAGGAAAGGGTAACCACTAACCAGTAAATCACACAATGTTGGCTAAGAGCAATAGCTCAGTATCTACCAATTATGTATATGAGCTGCACATACATACATGGTTGCAGGGTTTGCATGTACCCTTTCAGTTCACACAAGCTTCATAAATATGGTTGCTGTCATTGTCATATTCTGTTGTCTATGCTGGCTATTCTTTAGGTGTCAAAAGAGACCACCCATGCTCCTCCATGCCCTGACCTGACTTTTATAAGCCGCATGAAGCATCACCGCAGGATCTGCTTCCAGCCAACAATGCAGTCAGTGCCAGGCAGCTGGGCAACCACTTGTCACTGTTTGCATATATCTATAGGCCTCTGGAATGCACATGCTGGCTGCATGTGACTTCCAAAGAATCAATCCAACCAAGTTCCTGACACGCTGATGCACATAATGAGATCCAGAAAGATGAGGAAGTAGCCTAATGCCTCTCCCACCAGGTGTTGAAGGCTGACACAGTGCCAGCCATGCACAATTTAATACCTCATGTATTATTCCAGTGCGTTTTTTCCCTGTGACAACAAGCCACAGGTCCTTTTTATGAAGATGCTTTCAGCATTTTATATGCCAGGAAGAAATCAGATAATCATTGTGGCCATGGTGTTGTCTTATGACATTGCTAACTACTGATACAATTTCTGCAGGAAGATTTGTCTGATCAGTTCAGACACCTCGAGGGAGTTCCAAAAGCACTCTTGCCTGGTGTAGGAGGCAAGAGGATTCTCGACTACTGGTGGAATGCAATTAAGACGTGAGTAGCTGGTTTGGAAATACACTTGTATGTACAGCAACTCTGATAGCTATCAGTCAGTAATATTTGCCAAAGAATGGTAATGACAGCATAGAAGACACACACACGCACGCGCGCACGCGCGCACGCACGCACGCACGCACGCACGCACGCACGCACGCACCGCACCGCACCGCACCGCACGCACACACCACACACACACACCACACACACACGCACACGCACACGCACACGCACACGCACACGCACACGCACACGCACACGCACACACTCACACACACACACACACACACACGCACACGCACACGCACACGCACACGCACACGCACACGCACACGCACACGCACACGCACACGCACACGCACAATCCAAAGAGATTTTAGTGTTCCTATGTGTGAACTGACATGCTGATTTTATCGAGGTCCCCAGGAGCTATACTGTTGTTATGTGTCGGCCTTTTCTACCAGGCACATCCTACCCTGTTTGCCAATGCTTGATTATTTTTGTTTTTGTTTCAGACGCCAGCTGTTCAGTGATGTGTTCCTTGTTACTAATGCTGACAAGTAAGTTTTGTTATGCCTTAAGCTGATACACCACTAATCTCTTCACTCTCCTGCTGTGCCTGTATTCAGGCCTGTGCTTAAGTATGTCGCAGCAGTGTTCACACCGACTCAGACTCACGCTGCATGTAGTCTGTTTACACCTGTCTCCAGTTCTAGCCGTGGCCAGGATGGCGAAATTGTAGGCTCACTGACGCCGAGTCAAGAAAATATCCCTTAATTCTGAAATTGGTCCCGTTGGAGTTTATTGTGGTAACAACTGGTCACTGGCATGCTTGGAACGAGTTTTCGCTGTTGCCTTTTTTGTTGCTTGCCCTCCTGACCAGCCCATTTCCGGGCGAAAAGAAGGCTGTGTCACTCATTGGCGTGAGTTCAATTACTCGCCGCGCGGCGATAGCAAATAAAGTTCACTCGAATTCGTGGTGGTGAAGGGTTGAATTTGGAAGCGGCTTTGTTGGCCTGGGGCGCAGGCATGGACAGTCTGACGCTGGACGGGATAGTCTGACACTGTCCAGGACAGTCTGACGCGGGCCGGGACAGTCTAATGCAGGTCCGGACAGGGACAGTCTGACGCCGGCCGGGACAGTCTAATGCCGGTCGGGACAGTCTGACACCGGCCGGGACAGTCTAATGCCGGTCGGGACAGTCTGACGCCGGCCGGGACAGTCTTATGCCGGTCGGGACAGGGACAGTCTGACGCCGGCCGGGACAGTCTAATGCCGGTCGGGACAGTCTGACGCCGGCCGGAACAGTCTAATGCCGGTCGGGACAGGGACAGTCTGACGCCGGCCGGGACAGTCTAATGCCGGTCGGGACAGCCTGACGCCGGCCAGGACAGTCTGATACCGGCGTCCACCCCCCAGGTACAAGCATTTCGAGCGGTGGGCGATGGGCGCCGACTTCCCGCTGGACAACGTCGTCAACAACGGCTCGAGCCTGCCGTCGACGCAGCGTGGCGCGCTGGCCGACCTGCGGCTGGTGGTGGACACCAAGCGGCTGGCTGACCGGCAGGAGGACGTCATGGTGGTGGCTGGCGACATGATGTTCCAGGTGCGGCGGCGGCCGGCCGTGTCGGGCTACTCATGGGGCTTCCGTAGCCCCATGAGTTGGCTTCCAGTTGGCTTTGCTGGATGTAAGTATAGATTCGTACAACCAGATGTCGGGATTCCCGCTGGTCTCTGTTCTCACGTTTCGTCGACTGCTAATTGGTTGCCTTTTGAACCCGCAACCTGAGGTATGACCTGCTGGGGCAATTTGCTAAGCCCCAGACGCCGAAATGCTGGGTTGACTTCCGTCTGGCTTGATGTTCATTGGCCGATCGTTAGCGCGGGGAGAAGCAACGGATAATGAACTCCGAGCTGCAGGTGCGATAGCACGAAGAAATATCGGCGTCATATCGGAAACACCGCACAAGTCCGGAATCCCACGTATCAGGTCCCAGGTCCCAGATCCTATGTTTCAGGCCCCAGGTCTGTCCCAATCAGCTGGAGGCGCCGGCGGAACTTGCGAGCAGAATAGAGGCGTCAGGTTATTCTGAAGAGCGCACGTGGGCACGGTGTTTGTTTGCGCTGGCCATAGCTCAGTCGCCAAATGTTCGTCGCGGATATTTATTCTGTCCTGTGCGGACGCGGATATTTATTCTGTCCTATGCGGACGCGGATATTTATTCTGTCCTGTGCGGACGCGGATATTTATTCTGTCCTGTGCGGACGCAGACTGATTTTGAATGCTGGAAGACTGATAGGATATTCATCCTGACCCAGGTATGGATAGGACAACACGTTTGACCTGACCCAAATGTGCTTTACGAGCGCAACACGTTTAACCTGACCTGGCTGTGTGCCGGCAGGACGACACGTTTGACCTGACCCAGGTGCTCAACTACTACCGTCTAAAGCGGTCCACCGGCGACTTGGCGCTCTGCTACCAGCTGGATGGCCAGGAGGAGGCCGGTCTGCAGGGCGCCACCGGCGAACGCTGCACGCGCGGCCTCGTCCACGTCTGCCCCGATACCAACCGGTGAGTAGCTGCCCGACGCACACGCACACACGCGCACACGCGCACACGCGCACTGTGTGTGTGTGTGTGTGTGCGTGCGTGCGTGCGTGCGTGCGTGCGTGCGTGATCAGCGGGGTGGAATGTGATACCAGCTATCTGCTCCTGTCGCTGTGTGCGCCCCAACTGACATCCGCCAGATGTTGCCTGGGGCGCCTGCCTGACCAGATGTCGATGTCGCCCTGCATTCTAGCCACACACAGTTGTCGCGCGTCTGACCAAAACAGCGGAATGAAACAGGGAGCGCTTTATATGCGGGGAGCGCAATCGGCCGGGGCGGGCGATGAGCGGCCGACGCCCTCCGCTGCTAGGATCCTACGGTTTGCGGGCGGTGAGCGACTGGCGCCTTCCGCTGCCAGGATCCTGCAGTTTCTGGAGAAGCCTCTGTGGACGGAGACGCCGTCGCGGCTAGCCAGTGTGGTCTTCTACTGCCTGAGGCCGAGTACCCTGAAGACGCTGGACGAATACCTCGGCCTGGGAGTCGGGGAGGCGACGCCCACCTTCGGCAGGTCAGTTCGCCGGTCAGCGCGCGCCGGCGGCTCGCTCAGACGGCCGGCACCAGCGCGATCCTGTGGCGCTCCGGCTCACCCCGGCTGCCCACAGCCCTCTCCTGAAACCTTAGGCCCAGCGCCTGGCTAGGCTGTCGGGTATGTGGCTTTGCCTGCTATCTGATGTGTGCTCGGAGCAAACATCGGGCCTGGCCGCGGACGGTGAACGCGATACAGTTGTGCCCGCCGTCTGACGTGTTTCTTGCTGCAGATACCTGGCCTGGCTGATAAACGAGCGCGAGTGGACGGTGTACGCCATGAAGCTGGCCACCGGCTTCCAGCTGATCGGCGACGTCGGCCTGCACGACTATACCACCTGGCTAGCGATCTTCCAGCAGAGACATCTGTCGGACCAGCGCAAACCAATACGCCACCGCGTGCACGCTAGGTGGGTGTCTCATCGGCGGCGAAAATGAATGATGAGCAGCAGGTCTTGGCGAGCCGTTTGTAGAAATGGTGTGCATTAGCTTGAGTCGCTGATGGACTATTTCAATGCATTAATGCTCGAAAGGCAGTGACTGCTCCATTTAAAGGGATTGGATCCACTTACAAGTCATTAGATAAATGCATGGTAAGCCATGGTGGCGCTTACCCGTAGTTCTTTCGTCATTCTCGCTGCATCCTGCAACACTGCGACTCCCTCTTCATCCGGAGGAGCTACATGTGACAAGCATGAGTGTACTTGGGCGCACCCTGGTGGGAGGCCCTAGCACATGCTCCGTTTAGGGGTTCGTTAGCGGGCTAAGCCTCGGCGGAGAACTGACAGGTGCTATTTTGGGCAGGTGCATGCTATTTTTCCCAACCGTTTTCCACTTTCCGCCATCCCATAGCCCTAAAATGGCCACCACAACCGAAAGGACTATAAGCCGAAGGAAACCAAAATCACGGCATCTTCTGCTTCATGCCTTATCTTGTGTTTATGAGGCGTTTGCTGTTCACGCCGTAGTAATTTTGCCAAGTTTTGTCATCCAGATCTGTTCAATGAATTTCCTAATGGCACGCTGCTCAAACGTGACACTATTTTGTCGTGCTGTTACGGTGTTGTGAACCAAAGGAGTATAAAGCTAAGAATGTGTTGCTTTTTAGCATGTCTTTGTTACGAAGCTGCCTGTTGGAATCAATATTTACCTTGCGGAGTGATAATACTGTTGCGAGTACCTTTTGGTAGGTCCCATCCCTTAAAAGAAGCTTAGTTGGAATGATGAGTCAACGATTTTTGCGTGCACTGATTTCTGTATGCTGCATCTGCCCACCTTAGGCGCTGGGTTGGCCGATATTTTACACAGCCAATGCTCATGTCGATTGCTATGAGTTCTATCGACCTTCAAGATTCAGTGTTTCATCGACTGTGCGGTCGCACACCCTTTCCACTGGCCCGTCTGCTCCCGTGAGCTGTGCGGTCGTCCTTTCCACTGGCTCGTCTGCTCCCGTGAGCTGTGTGGTCGTCCTTTCCCCTGGCCCGTCTGCTCCTGTGAGCTGTGCGGTCGTCCTTTCCACTGGCCCGTCTGCTCCCGTGAGTGTTGCGGTCGCATCGTTTTCTACCGGCCCGTCCACATCCGTGGGCTGTGCGGTTGTCCGTTCCATGACGTCTTGCAGTGACGTGCTCCTCTTCCACTCCCCAGACTTCTCGCATGTCCTGTGCGCCTCCATTCTCCAGAGCGTGTCGTTAGCACCGGGCTTTCCTTCTCCCTGTCATGCTGATAACTTTCGGTCGATTTGCAGGGTAGGCCTGATGGGGAACCCTTCGGACGGTTTCTACGGGAAGACGATATCGCTGTCGATTCAGAACTTCTGGGCAGAAGTCACCATAGCAGGTGCGGATGGTTCATTTCCTGGCTATTGCTGAGGTTTGCAAAATCAGCTCCCGTACTGCGGTGTTTTACCTCGCTTTCAGGTATTTTCACTCACATTGTACCATTTACATTCGAATGAAGTGCTGTCTGATCTGGGAAAGCACGGAAAACACAAACACTCCCCTCTTTGTACTATTTTGTGCTCTCATTGTACTATTTCACTCGCCACATGAAGCAAGGATGTGGCTTCCTAGCCGGTTGGAAGGAGGAAAGTTATGAAAGTATTTCGAAAGTCATCGCTGCTATCAACGTCCTGCCTTGTGGGGGCTTTGGTGGTTAAGGGTGCGTTTGACTTGCATAATCTGTCAGCGAAGCAATCGAACTCCTGGAAAATTTCGTGCGTCCAGCACGGGCAGCACGAAGGACTATCGCAGATAATTACCGATATAGAATCCCGGAAAATTATCCGAGTATGCTCAAGGCGGAGAATCTTTTTTTTGCTATGCATAGTTATGAACGGTGTGTGTGTGTGCATGGCGCATGGGAGACGAATCTGAAGGATGATTTCCGGACCTGCCGAACGTAAATGGAGAATCTCGGTTAATGATTATCGGAGAGACAATTAGTCGTCGAATGTTTTCCCTCGGCCCAACGTGCCCTTGGACAACAGGCGGTTTGTGTGATCTTACGACTCATTCGCTGATAAACGGTTCATTACAGCCACCTCCGTACTAATGTCTGGATGCAATATATATATATATATATATATATATATATATATATATATATATATATATATATATATATATATAGATGAATTATACCTGTGGATGGCAGAGCAAGCAAAATGGCTTTTGCATACAAATACATGCGATGCAAATTTTCTTGTTGCCGCCTCAATGCAGCTTCTGGATACCCAATACACGTGCCGACGTCCAGCCGAGATGCACATCGGGCTGATCTCGGCCCGCTGCCAGCCAGACGTCCGCCCGCACTCCAGCAGACGTCCCCCGCTCTTCAGCCGACGTACCCCCGCTCCAACCGGTCTGTACCCCTGCTCTCTAGCCGACGTTCGCCCGTTCTCCAGCCGAAGTTCGCCAGTTTTTCAGCCGACGTACTCTCGCTCCAGCCGACGTTCGCCCGCTCTCCAGCCGACGTTCGCCCGCTCTCCAGCCGAAGTTTGCCACCTCTTCAGCCGACATGCACCTCGCTCCAGCCGACGTTTGCCAGCTCTCCAGCCGACGTATCCCCACTCTCCAGCCGACGGTCGCCCGCTCTCCAGCCGATGTTCCCTGCCCTCCATTCCAGCGAACTAGTCTGTTTGCCCGCAACAAATCTAATCAGTGTATTCAAGGATTCAAGGTCACAAAGTTGTTCAAAGCATCCTTTCGAACCGGCCTTCGTGGCCGCCAGCGCCGTTTTGCTATACCGCCATGTTCGTCGTCCGGAGGGCACTGGATGGAGTAAGCTGCGCCGCATGTCAAGAAGCGCTGGTGAGCCATCAGGAGCACGACGACCTCACATCCGTGCGCCACCGTCTGCGACTGTAAAACCGCAGTGGGCTGATGAGTACCTCCGCAAGAGCAGTGGATAGGTGGTCCTGAAAGCTGAGGAGGACCTCCGCCGCTACATTGTGCAGCTGTACGTGGCTTACCATGCCTTGTCCTGGCGGGTGCTGGAGAAAGCGGTGGTGTGCCGCATTGGTACCGATGACGTATGAGATCCCGACTGCTTCTTGGAAACTCGGTACGGCTGGGAAAGCCACCACACCGAGGTCGTCAGGATGCTGGTGGCCACCTGCCGATGAAGTCAAGTTTCGCCGTCTTAATCGCCGGGCGAGGCTGTACGACGCACACCCACAGAGGAACGGGAGCCTGCACAAGTTAACTAGAGCAGTGCTATTCTGGGGAAATGAGGCCACGTCCTGTAGGCGCTGATATTGTTTACGTTTGTCCCCGGCGTATCCAGCAGATGGCCTTGCCTACGATTCTCACACCTCTCCAATCCTAGAGGACGTTTGTAGCGCCTCGCCACGGTCCGGTCGCCGGCTTGTGCGCGCGTGGGAGTCAGTCAGGCATCGTGAAGGGTTCGTGAAGGCTACCTGTAGAAGTGCGATAGATCCGCTGTATTTGCATTATCGGTCGCTTGATGAATAGCCTGAATCAGGGAGTGGTGTGGCATCTGAAATGGATAAAACACGGATCTCATGACATTGGCAATTGTTTAATACGTGCTGTTGGACTACGAGGCATCGCGATATTGTCAGATAGTTCGGAGGTGAATTTGTGTTATCAGATGTATGATTCCTGTTATTGCTGCGGTAATTATTGCTGCGTAAGTAACCAGCTGGTCTTGAGTGTTCACAAGCATTAATTCCCTTTGCGGAAGCTGGCCAACCAACCCCTCAGCCGGCCGGGTGCCTGCTCGTGCGCCCAATACATATGAGCGTGGCAAGTACTTGTGCTCTTCATCTCTCGGCCGTGGAACACCGGCGGCATCATCGCAGCACCAGGCGTGCCGACGTCCACCCCACAGCGGTATCAGATGTCGTGCCCCTGGACACCCACCACGGGATCCGGCACAGTGGCGGGTGAAGCAACGACATTCGTCCCACGAACGGCAGGTAGAACGGCAGCCGCGCCGATGCCTGGCGTGAGCGCGGCAGAACCATCCGGGCTAGCGGGGGGCCGCGGCTGTCGTCGCCAGCGGTGGGTCCACACTCCACAGGCCTTCCGAGCGGATGTCGCCTGTATACATCGGTTACGAGCGCAGCCGACTCCCGAGGAGTTCTAGAGCGATAGGTAGACGGTAACATACCTGGTTTACCATCGCTCGGCGTGAGCACGGCAGACCGTCCGCGTAGGCAGCAATTGTGGAGGCCGATGGCGGGGTTTTCTCCATGCGGGTAGCTCACTGAAGGATAAAATACAATAAATAGGTGTTTCAGGATCGTTGACATGTGGTGCTATCTCGCAAAGCCTTTTACAATCGGCTCCAGCATTAAGTTTTGCTTCCGCGATCTTACAAAGCAACCTCACCTCGCACGTTGCAATGGTTCCGTTGGAGCGAGTCCATGTTTCTGGACCGTTTCAATATGGCGGCCGATTTTACGCGCCACCAAGCGGACCACTCAATTCAGCTGTCCTGTATTGTCCTTTATATCCATGGTTCGGCGCCATCGTTTTTGTTGCCTTGCACGGTACATGACCAATGAGGTGGCAGGATTTGTGGGACGTTCTGCGAGGCTATGCATGCCCGGGTGACCTTGACATAGTCCGCACGAAACGTTCTGCGCAGGTGCGCGGACATCAAGCTCTGGAACAAGAGTCTGCGAATGGGCTGGGTTGTGAACTGCGCTGAATTATATGTAAAAAGGCTATCTCAATGCAAGACCCCCACATAAATGTGGAACGCTCCATTTAAGTAATGCCGCATAGGTGGCATGCCATATGTGGTCATGCAAGTTCCAACGGCGCTTTTGCCGCCTGCTTGTATCTTTTGTATATGCACCATGAGCAAAAAGTTGATTGAAGTCAACACGTCACCTTAGCTGACTTACGGGGATGACGCGCAGCTATCCTGGCTCATTCGCCCTAGCCAAGCCCTACTGTGGTCGCTGCTCACATTGCATCGGCACTTGCGACAATGATATATGGGACCGCGTCACGGCGCGTGTTGTTTATGCGTGTATGCACCTTATGTGTGTGTGTATGTATGTGTATGCACCTTTTACAGTACCATTTTATGTACAGTGTATTCCAGGCATTCCCAGCCGGGGAAGGAGAGAGATGGGCTTATCCCCCAGAGGTGAATACGGGGGTTTCAGGGTTAATTGCTATACAGCCGAACCATGTCTGATTCGACAAATAACCGTCCTGGTGGCATTGACAGGTAGTCGCTGACTGAAAGCTCATGCTGCCACATGAGCTTTCATTTGCATTTGAACATTTGCTACAGTAGTAACAAACAAGGACAGTGCTTCCACTGGCATGGTGGTTCATGTGCGAGCCAGATACCGCGAGCTCATTTCTGTGTGTGGATTTATGATGTTGGGATGCAATTTGTGCAGATGTTTTTCTTGAACAAACTGGTCGCGCACACTATTTTGTTCGCTGTCAAGAATACGCGCGTATTGTGCTAATTGTATACGATTGTGTTGCGTGGGGAGGGTAGAAATCATAATTCAATCCATCCTCGGGACGAAATGAAACTTAAAAGGTTGAGAAACTCTGGTGTGCTCAGCCGATAGAATGCGTCGCGGTGAACTGATATTCCCATTTTTGTTGCCAAGATATTTGGGAAAGAGGTTCCATATGACGTGACACGGTCGCTGCAGCGGAGCCATCCTAACTAACTAACGAAAGGAGCATTCTGAGGGCTCTCACCGCGGCCCTGAATGCTGACAACGGCGGGGACGTGCCAGCCCTGGCACTCGGCCACTCTTTCGCAGTTGTCAACGCGACGCGTCACTAACGCAGCTCAGTCGGTCAGACAAGGAGCGCGCCGAGTGCACTCCTCGTCATGCCGGCCAGACTCATTAGCACACGCCAGTGTCAACAGCTTCTCAGAACAGCTGTTCTGTGTTAAAAATATAGGGTCGCAGTTTTCCTGTGGCCGCCGGTGAGGTTTTGAGTATTTCACGACTGCTCTGTTGGTTTGCGGGATTGCATGGTGTAGCGCACTTGCCATGAATCAAGATGCGTGCGTACATGGGCATTTGTGCCGGCAAAATCTCACCGGCTGCGTTTGCTACCACCCCGCTGTATCGGTCTTGCCACTGTGCCGGCAGAGTCACACCGGCTGCGCCTGCTCCCGCACCCGCTGTACGACCCGACCGAGTTCGGCTCACTGCACGACCTGCACGGCACCAGCACCAAAGAGGGCTACCTGGGCGGCCTCCGCCTGCTGCAAGCCACCTGCAAACGCTTCTACCAGTTTGCCTCTGAGAACGGGTGAGCCGCGACGCAGCCGGTGCGCTGGGCTTGACCCCCGACCGAGTCAGCTCGTCGAGGCCCGTCGCAGCCGCGCGACCGGCCGCACCCTTGACAGTCATGTGTATGTACCGCCTTCAGCCTTTTAACGGCCGTGTTGCACGGGGCAGGACGGCGCTGGGCCGGCTTCATACTGTACTGTTTGTGGTGGCAGGTAGGACGGCTCTGGGCCGGCTGTGTACTGTACAGTGTGTGGTGACCGGTAGGACGGCGCTGGGCCGGCTGTGTACTGTACGGTGTGTGGTGGCCGGCATGACGGCGCTGGGCGGGCTGTGTACTGTATAGTGTGCGGTGGCCGGTAGGACGGCGCTGGGCCGACGCAACTTCAGCCTGCGGTACGACACCAACATCCCGCGCCAGGTGGGCCTGGCCGGCAGCAGCGCCATCGTGACGGCCGCGCTGCGCTGCCTGATGGACTTCTACGGCGTGACAGAGCGCGAGGTGCCGCGCCACCAGCTGCCGCAGTTGGTGCTCGATGTGGAACGCAGCGAGCTCGGCATCCAGGCCGGCCTGCAGGACCGCGTCGTCCAGGTCAGACGCGCCCGCGGCCCCGCCCGGGCCTGGTCCCGTACCGGGGCAGTGTGAATCAGGTCTGGCAGCGGGGACAGTGTGGTTCAGGTCCAGCAGCGGGTACAGCGTAGTCCAGAGCCGGCAACGTGTAGTCCAGCGTAGTCCAGAGTCACAACAGTTCAGAACAGTTCAGGTCCGGCAGTAGGGTAGTCTGGTCCTGGGCCGGCAGCGGGAAAAGACCAACGGGACACTTAGGTTCAGGGCCGGCAACAGGTAATGTGTGGTTCGGGTAACACGTTGGTGATTTGTGGTCCGGCTCAGACATCATGACACCGGGTAATGTGTGAGCCGATCAGACGCTGGAGAATGGTCAAGGCTAGACATTGGAATGTGGGAGCCAAGTCAGATAGAATCAGAGGGTGTGGTCTCGACATCAACAGAATTGGGGATTTGATTATGTGTGCCTCGTTACCTTGCTTGCGTGCGGGCGAAGGGTGCTATAAGTGTCGCGGAAAATTGGGAAACTGATCTCCGGGAAATGCAGTTGGATATTTTGATGTAAAAAACATGATCAAACCCCTTTGGACGTTGCGGTCTTAAGGAGTGGACGTGTTTCACCGTTTGTCAACGCGTTTGTACTCATATATAACTGCTGAATTCGACCAAGTCGTGCTGAATTTTTTTCGCTATTTGAGGTCTGGTTGGTCTTTAGGAGCTGTTTGCCTTGGCGTCAGGCATCCGCATTAAAGGGAATGTTCCACATTTAATAATATTACCTACCTAGTATCGAGCTTCCAATTTTTCATCAATTTCAATCAGGTAGAAGGTAATGAAACCAGTTGATGCATGTGTATCCACACACATATAATGCACATGTTGTGCATATATATATATATATATATATATATATATATATATATATATATATATATAGTTGCACATATCAGTATGGTCACTATCTGTTTTGTATTCAACACAAGAAATCTGATTTATATGCAGAATCGTACCCGGCAATTTCGGGTGTGCTGGAATCAGACCCAAAGCGATTCCAATTGTCAACAGTCGCTTGTAATTAATTGGAATCCGGCTTCATGCGTTTTGGTTCGGATTCGGAATCGATGCCACCCAAGCGGAATCAAGCACAAGCGGGGCACCACCCAGCTGTGTTGTGCGCGGAGAGCTGGTGTGCGATGAACGCCTCTGCTCAGAGCTTTTCAGCAGCGCGATTGTGTGGTGAATAACGTCATTTGGTTCCGACTCGTCAACTGGGCGCTGTTCAGCTGCGGCCGGTGTATCGCTCGGATCATGCTGTCCAGCAGGCGGAAGAGCGGCATCTTCCCCAGCTGGGCGTTCCGCTGAGAAGTCAGACTGAACTGGGCGTCAGCCACGCGTTATACGAGACAAATCCTCACCACAAGGCCTGCCTCGTGAGGCGAACCGAACAACGCCGCGGGTCTCACGGTCGCACCCTGTTCAGTAGCGTGAGCAGATCGGGTCGTTGGGGACCCCCTTACCTTGCCCACGCAGGTGCCCCCCCCCCCCCACACGCTCTCCCTCCTCGCATTCAGGGGCTTGCATGGACCACTCACGGCGGCCCGAAGACTGAGGGTTCTGGCCTTGAACGACTTAGCAATGGGGCGTTCTGATGGGCCTTATCGGCCATCGCGGCCATAAGTGTTATAAGCGATGCGTCAATTAGTTGAATATCATCTACGCATTCAGTACAGATGCATAATGGTGAGGAAAACGCCTCTGAAATGTCAGTCGGCACTTAAACAGATCAATAGAGTCCTGCTTTCAGTACCGCTCATCTGTTAATAGGGTTACCCTCAGTCGAATAGACGGTGAGATGCCGCAAAGTTTCAAGAGATCAAATTATAACTTTTGATCCTACGCATGAGGAGCACCCGATGTCAATGTTACCGCACGCGGGAAAAATGAAAAAAATGCATGTGCTGCGCTGAAAGATGGTTTGCATGAGCAAGCGACGCGACGTACCGTACATGTCTGCGCGGCACATGCCAGGCTTGGCAGATGTGGGCTCCTGTTTAGACACCGCTGACCATCTGGCCAGTGGCCGGCTGATCTGTTCACACGAGTAGACTGGTGACCTGCGGACCTGTTCACACAAGTAGGCTGGTGACCTGCGGACCTGTTCACACGAGAAGGCTGGTGACCTATGGATCTGTTCACACGAATAGGCTGGTGGCCTGCGGGTCTGTTCACACGAGTAGGCTGGTAGCCTGCGGATCTATACGAATAGGCTGGCGTGTTTCTCGCATCCTGCTGCTCTCTCCCGGCGGCTTGTTTGTCGACAGTTGGCCGTTTGATAGCCGTTTGAGAGGACACCAGTCCACTAAACCATGTTACTGCTTGTTGCGTCTTGGCCGTGGCGCTTTGGAATTCTTCGTCTTGCTGTGTATTTTTTTTACTCGCTTGTTGTCACTTCATAGAAAACTGATGGGATTGAAGGGAAGTCTGAAATAGCACGCAACTCATATATCGTACTTGTAGTGTGGCTGTGGATTGTATGCGCAGTCAATGATGATATGTATTCGAGCGGTCGACTCTGAGAGCTTTGGCGGCGCGCTGAGGAGGGTTTTGAGCTGGACACCGGGACATGCGCCGAGGCGTCCGTCGGCCAGGTGTGCGACGGTCTTGTGTACATGGACTTCGATGGCGCGCTGAGGAGGGGTTTGAGCTGGCCACCTGAGCATGCGCCGAGGCGTCTGTCGGCCAGGTGTACGGCGGTCTGGTGTACATGGACTTCGGCCGGGAGCTGATGGAGGGCCGCGGCTACGGCGACTACCGGTGGCTGAGGCCGCGCTGTCTGCCGCCGCTCTTCCTGGCCTACCTGGCAGACCCCAGCGACTCGGGCAAGATCCACAGCGACGTCAGCCTCCGCTGGAAGAGAGGTGAGCACGTCGGCCGGCGGCAATGTGGCGGTGCAACGTCCGCGCGCGCCGCCCGGCGCCGCCCGGCTGGCCGGCTGGCCGGTCCTCAGCCCATCGGCGCCAGTTGACAGCAGGTGCTTTGTAAACGGTCTTCGTTAAAAGCAGAGCATATTTCTTTTCCGCATGTTTTTCGTAGTTTGCGGCGAGTTTAGCGGCCTTCCCTTCCGGCCTGTTGAGGTATGCGGCTTAATTAGTTGCGTTTTTTAACTAGCCCTGATGAGCCCGATGACACTGCAGAGCCCCGGCTGGACGGGACACTGCAGAGCCCCGGCTGGACGGGACACTGCAGAGCCCCGGCTGGACGGGACACTGCAGAGCCCCGGCTGGACGGGACACTGCAGAGTCCCGGCTGGACGGGTATTTGTACAGCTCAGTTGTACTTACCTGATCCCTTCTATGGTGGTCACGTCTGGCGATGCCATGCCATGTCATGCCATGCGATGTGGTGCGATGCCATGCGATACGACGCGACGCCGTGCGGAGTTGAGACGTGGCGTGACAGCATGAACTTGCAAGACGATCCGGAGATCAGATGTGCTTGTGCCCCATTTGCTGGCCTGAGCACAAATAGCTGTAACAAGTGCTTGCGGGCTTGCTTCGCTAAGCGACGGAGTGTCCATAGATGATTTGTGTTCGCATTATTCCGGGATGTATTCAACACCATGGGATTCCCTGGCCGACCCAACCTCTGGCGGCCTGGGTGCCCAACGGGAACCGGGTGTGATGTGCTAACTACCATGAACGATCAAATCTTGCTCGCCAGATTTCTACTGCGGTTGAAGCGTTGCTATGCATTCCAAAGGTTCAAGAAATCCGCCTTTGCCACCCTGGTAGATGTCAGATCTTCCTAAATTCACCACTGTCACCTGTCAGTGCTGCTGCCATGATCTGTGCTGTCAAACTCTTTAGTGACTTGAAAACACACCCCATGAAGCTAACTGGGTGCTGTTTTGCCGTAGCAGTGAACTTCGCTTGAAACTTGCTGTGTTTCGTGTGTCTTCTTATCTTACGCGTTGCAAATTATTCTTCGCTTGATAAGTGTAGTTTCTCTGGCATTTCGCAAAGCAGGGAGATCGAGGAACGCATTTCGTCGTCACTATGGCTCACCTTTCTCGACACAATGAATGAATGAATGAATGACGGCTGCCGGACGCCGGCAGCGTATGTCTCGCACACGTTTCGTCGTTTTACTTAGAACACTGGCCGCCGGCGGCTGGGCGATCAACCGGTGGCATTTTGGCGACGCGAAAATGTGGAGATACGACCACTTAGGTAAATCTAATGCATGGACGGAAAAGCACACATAATGACAAACAAGTGGGTGATCAATATAGGCATCGAGTCGGTGCACGCGGTGATGTAAATTTAGCCACGGCTGTGGATCAGTTCCAACGACGGCGTATTGTATTCTGCACCGTTTTTTTTCAAAATGCCGACGTTCCCGACATTCACGGCTGCTCGTCGGCTTTGTCTTCGGCCACATTTGCGAACCGCTCATGCAAAACCAATGGGCCTAAAATGCCCCTTCCGCCACGTACCACTCCAGAATCCCGGACCGTAACGGCTCGCCAGCCATCCGTAGAAAACCGCCTCATGCGCCCGCGCGTAGCGTCCGAAATTCATCTCTCAGCGACCCACCGTTTGGTCCGTGCATAGTGCTTCGCAAAACGGGATAAGCAACCGTACACTAAGCAAATGACATGTAGATTTTGATCCATCACCGACACTTTTGACCGACGGTGTCCATTGTTAGTGGGCATGCCAGCGTTCCGTCTGTATTGCGACGTATTACCTGGAATGCAGCAGGATCAGAGGAGAAGGTGGTGCGAAGGGCAGTCGTCTCCCTTGCTTATGAGTAGGGCTGACGGATAAGGAGAGGCAGAGGACAGCCCCTCTCCATGTCGACGGATAATGGAGGACAGAGGACAGCCCCTCTCCATGTCGACGGATAATGGAAGACAGAGGACAGCCCCTCTCCATGTCGACGGATAATGGAAGACAGAGGACAGCCCTCTCCATGTCGACGGATAATGGAAGACAGAGGACAGCCCTCTCCATGTCGACGGATAATGGAAGACAGAGGACAGCCCCTCCCCATGTTGGCGGATAAGGAAGGGCAGAGGGCGGCCGCTCTCCCATGTCGGCGGATAGTGGAGGACAGAGGGCAGCCCCTTTCCCATACTGGCGGATAAGGAAGGGCAGAGGGTAGTCCCTTTCCCATGTCGGCGGATACGGGAGGACAGAGAGCAGCCTCTCTGTCATGTTGGCGTTGAGGGAGGACAGAGGGCAGCCCCCTCATACATCGGCGGATAAGGGACAGAGCAGCCGCCTATCTCATGTTAGGGCAAGATTTAACAGAAACTCTTCATGTCATTGCATGGAAGAACAGCCAGTTCGCGTGTTCTTGTCCATTCCAGCCCATCAGCCTGATTTTCCACTTCATCGGGCGTCACTGGGTGAGTTGCGTGCACGAAGAGCATCTCGGAGGGAGGGGTGAGAGGACAGGATCACCTCCTCCCCCAGAAAAAGGGCTGTAGGACAAGAGCTGGGTTGGATTGGGCGTGATCATAGCCCGTCGATTCGAGCGTCGCGGATTTTTTCCCAGTCAAATTACCGAACTATTTTTAATACAGCAGAGTGGAAATTCCCTTAAACGGACATTCGGTAGATGTGAGTTATGTTGCACTAGTGGCCAGATGCAGACATGGAATACAAACATTTTCTTTAACGATATTCTGAATGCATACTGGAATGCTTTTATTTGCATGCGATGTTGTCAGAGCAATGAACTGGTAATATTTTGGCGTGAATAAAACAAGCATGATACAAATGCAGCTGGGAACTCGACTCGACGAAATAAGGGTAAAGTTTGCGCCGTTTGTATCAGCGCGCCGCAGAGTCTGTAAACCGAACACATTGACGGTTTAGCTGCCGCCTGGTAAAAAAGCAGCGACCGTCCGCAAGCTGCCAGAAAACTCGCCGTCCGAGGGCCGAGTGAAGCAAATAGGTCCATGACTTAAAACCAACAACAAAAAAAAAACGCGCGGATTGTCCGCGGAAAATGGTCTCTGTAATCCTAATTCTTTATTTGGCTGTGTTTGTATATCGCTTGCATTTGGTAGCCGTCCGATCTGCCTCTTTACCCGCCTCATGCTGTAGAAGACGTCGGACCGACTCACTTCCCGGGAGGAAGCACGCCCTGTCGTCCTGCATGGAGTATGGCGATGTGGCGCCCAGTTTGGAGTCCAGTCGGCCATAATGCAATGCTACGTAGTGGTTTTATTTTGCTCCGGATCATATCCCATCGCATTGCATCGCATCGCGGCGAGAGGGGCCCGAATGTCGAGGTCTTGAAGTAAAGTAAATGCCCTCCTAGGCGGGTACCTCTGGTCCCATACTGAGGCCTTGCTGCCGTAACCTCGCCCGATCGCGAGTTGTGACGCAAGGGTCCATTACAGGCATTATTTAATAACTAGACGATGGTTTATGCCAAGCTGCTGTCCGGTGTCTTAAAGATTATTTGACTCGGGACCACTTTTAAGGTCTGTTGACCGACTTGGAGCACATAACGGCCGGGTAGAGACTGGTCGTTTTAAGGACAGGGGGCACGTAGGTTTAAGGACATGAGGACTCGTTGGTTTTAGGGTAGGGGCTTGTGGGTTGCCAAACGTCGTAGACCTCATCAACTTGCTCGATGCCCATTCACTATCAGGTCAATCTCTTTGGATTTTTTTCTGCAGGATTGGTTCATGTCCTGTTGAACAAACCTACGAAGCTTTGTAGACCAGGGATGCTAGTTAAACACCAGCCGCTATAGATGCATTCGGCTCAGTAATGATGTCAGGGGGATAACTATGTACGTTTGCCAACACTGCACACAAACAGGTGCAATTTTTGCTGCTGCCACAACAATGGTCAGCGAAATGTGGTTGTACCGTACTGGGGCGGCGCCGTGAGCGGCGGTTCTCCACGCGCTGTCACTGGTTAGTGGACACCAGCGCGCCAGCGACCGCTCGGGCGAGCACTAGCGGGACCCGGCCGCCGCGCGCTCCGCCAGCGACGGCGCCAGCACGCGCCCGTCGGCCTCGTTGTGTGGTCAGTGGGGTGTGGGACGGGACGGACGCAGTGACACCGACCGCGCCGCTCTCTCAGGGGACGAAGACGCCGTGTCAGCCATGGCTAAGTTTGCCGAGCTGACGGACGCTGCCCGGGACGCCATCTCTGGAGAGGATTGGGAGGCGCTAGCCAAGCTGATGAATGACAACTTCGAGCTTAGAAAACAGTGAGCTTTTTGTACTTCTTTTCATATCACTGATAATTGCCGTGGAACGTGCATTGTGAAAGATGTGTGTCATATGGAGTTTTGCAAGTATTATCGTACTATCATTGGGCGTCTGTGAACAAGTCGCAAGCATCTCTGAACAAGTCGCGATTGTAAGGTTCTTTTTGTATGTACGTTTAAGTTCGGTCGCAAGGGAGATTTTCAAACACAGGTTGATGTACGCAATCCACATATATGTAAGAAACGCTATGGAGGCATCGGCAGCTGGGTGTGCCTTGGTGTAGGGGACGATGGGCGGGGACAGCCAGGGGGGGTGTATGGGCCGACGGGCTCGGCCAGCCAGAGGAATGTAAGGGACAATGGGGGGGGGGGGGGGGGGGGGGGGGGGGGGGGTGAGGGGACCAGTCAGCTGGGTGTATGGCCGATTGGCAGGGCTAGCCAGCTGGGTGAAAGGCCAAACGCCGCCAGCTGCCGGTGTCCGGCCGTCGGTGTACACATACGTGACCTGGTGTCCGTGTCGGGCAGGCTGTACGGGCCCGAGTCGCTGGGAGAGCAGAACCTGCGCATGGTCGAGCTGGGCCGACAGCACGGAGCGGCCGTGAAGTTCCCGGGTAGCGGCGGCGCTGTGGTCGGCCTCTGCCGCAGCGACGAGCACCTGGTTAGTGACAGCCGGCGGGCAACAACTGCAATGTCGTGTGCTGGCAGCCGCTGTGTGTGGAGACAGGAATGTATAATTTGGCTGGCGTTGCGTCGGATGTGAATGCGCATAGTGTATCCGTGTGGTAGCTGTGGGCGCAGGCTCGTTCTCTGCCACGCTTGACTTGTGCACTTCAGAGCGGCCGACCAACAGTGTGTTGAGACTGAGTCGGCGTTGGCGGCGGCGGCCGGTGAGCCCGGCGGCGGGTGCCGTCTCTAACGTGTGACCTGGCTCGGCAGGCCGCACTGCGCGAGGCCTACCAGGAGGCCGGCTTCGTGTTCTGTCAGGCGGTGCCGGCCGTGGACGGCCTGAGGCCCGAGTCAGCGGCGGGCGCGCTCTGACCGGCCCGAATCGCGTCTTGTCGCCCCCGGCCGTGGATGGCCTGAGGCCCGAGCCAGCGGAGGGCGCGCTCTGACCGGCCCGAAGCGCGTCTTGTCGCCGCCGGCCGTGGACGGCCTGAGGCCCGAGCCAGCGGCGGGCGCGCTCTGACCGGCCCGAAGCGCGGCACGCCACCGCCGCCGGCAGCGGCGAGACGCGCCCGGGCCGGCGGGCGATCCGTCGCAGCTGTCGAAGATTTTGTACAACGGGGAAGAAGACAAGTGATAATTAACGTGTTGATTGCGTGGAGACGAATCACAGATCATGCATACGGAACAGGGCCTTTTAATACAAGTGCGCGAAAAATGTCGCGCACCATTTTGCCGTTTGCCGTGTCATTTCCCCATCCCGCGCAGACCATAAGCCTCCTCACTCAAGGCCTTTTCTAAATGCAAGATTTTCCGCGCATGACGTTTAAGCTTAAGCAATGAATGGATATTCCTTTTCTTAATAATTGTTGGAGTGGTGCTTGCCTGTAACCTCGAGAAATCCGTATCATGTACCACGATTGCATTGTTTTTTAGCAATTGTATTGGAGGCAATCTTGCCTGTCAGTGCTACAGATGCTATGTTTAAGTTTTTGTTTTCACCCGAACGGAAAAGTAGCAGCCTGAGCCCCAAAAGTTCAGAGTTTGTAGGTAGGATGGGGAAATCCTGATTTCAGATCTGTCATATCATAAGAACTCCTCCCCTTTCACAATTCCTTTAAAAGGCCCTGTTACGGGATGAGTTTTGTATTTACGATGTGTCCAGCGATGTGATTGGCTTTGAAAAGAATTTGTTTTGATTCCGCGTCCTCATATAATGATAAGGGTTCTCCGCTGAGTTGAATATTACGTTCTTCTGTACTCTGTTCACTGTTATGAGCACCGACTGTATTCGCTTTTGAATGTACTGTATATTTCGTACTTTTTTCTTGCATCGTAACGATGCGTCTTTGCTTCCTTTATGTACTGGACGTATTATTCGCCCGAGAATGTACCGTATGTTTTGTACTCCTTTTTTTCTTGCATCGCGCCATGCGTCTTCGCTGCTTTTTCACAGCTTTACGTGACTGACGCTGTGCTTCTGCCTCCACTGAGCAGCCTTTTGGGGGTACCGTGGGATGACGGCGCTGTCCAGCTGTCGCTGCACTCTCGTCGATGACGTCGGCCAGTATTACGCTGTGATCTGCGGGGCGTGTGAGCGCCGGGGGACCCTCCTCTCGTCTCATGTGCTGGGTGTGGACGCGCGGCGCCGGTCCGGCTCCGGTGTGCGGTGGGAGGCCGCCGCGCCGCTCTGTTGACCATCTCGCGGCGTGCCGCACGACAGGCCTGTTTTTGTGGCCGGTCGGGGGCCGAGCGGCACCCGCTTGACAGCGTCGCGCCGGCAGCCGGTCCGGACGTCTTGATGATGGTGGGGACGTCTCAGCTGCCGGACAGGACCCTCGGGACGGACGGCCGAGAGCCGCGGACGGCGGCGAGGCGCCGGCACGGAGGTGGGGACGCACGCCACCGGCCCGGCGCCACGCGGTGCCGTGCCCGCCGGATGCTACTGCCACGTGAAGCTCAGGGCATCGCCACCGCTGTGGCTCGTCTGTGATTATGACATGATCGATTTATGTACTCATGCGAGCTATTATAAACCACATGAAGGGCAATATATAATCAGAAGTCACCTGTCTAGAGGATTTTTGTGTTGTCTGAAAGTGCATGGAACCCCTGGAACAAAAACGTCATTTTCAGGGCCTATAACCAGCGAGCTAAAGCTGGGAACATAGCTGGGCGGCGTAGCTTAGATTTTGTCATGAGCTGAATGGCCTAGGCGCCAGTCATTTAAAAGGTAAGGCATTTACAAAAAAAGGTTCGACGGTTCGTTGCCTTACGTGACGCACATAGACGGTCGGCCCACGCTCCGCATCAGTACCGTGCGGCATTGGCTCAGCCCCCATGTGCTTTCGGGGCTGTCGTGTGTCAACATGTCGGATATGCTCACGGGCTACGACAAGGAGGCCGCACTTGCTGTTCATGCTTGGGCTGGGTGTGAAGCCGCAGGGCTGGGTGAGAATGCAGGAATGGGTGTTGACGGCCCACGAATGATGGCGTCAGAGACGTGTTTGCACGACGCATGTACGCACACGCGCGCACGCACACACGCACCAGTTCATACGCGTGTCTATTGGCACCGGAACACCCCTGCACGCTCCCTAACAAGCCGCTCAATTCACAAGAGTTCAGATTCATGTCTGTAAACTGCCGCGGTTTGATAGGTCAAATCGAAGGCAGGACATCATTAACCGCGTCAAGAATGCCAGGTTTGGGATAGCTCTCTAAGATTCACACATAACTACGCAGCTTTTCATAGTTCAGTGCGCTTTGATGTGGAAAATGTTACTTTTATTTAACATCAAACCGCAGATGACCATGCATCTTGTTGAAACGCGTCACGAACTGGTGTGAAAGACAGTCCCACTGAAGGCTTCGTCGTTATCAAATGCAAGATGAACTGATTTGCACACCCTCATTAGCATGCATGGTCCTAACGGTGATACCCTGTGTTCTTTGACCCTTGCCACGCGAGGGCCTCAGAGCCCGCAAAGGTTTTTCTGGAAAAGCTCCTGAACAGTGTTGAGGACGGTGCTGAAATCTGGGGCAGCTAAGTTAACGCCACACACATTTTGATAACGTTATAAGTTTTGACCTTGATGGCAAATTATTTATGATCTCTTATGACTTGACCCCCATGAAAGTCCAGGAGCTCAAACTGAAACATTTGTGGCTAGATTTGACTTAATAAATGTCATTTAGTTGAATCTCAAAAGGCATACCTTACAGCTTTGAAAGCCTTCACCTCTTCACCTCACATGGTATTGCAGGTCACATCTGTAGACGTCGATGGTGCCATCTGATAAATGTTTCCAAGAGCTATTCAACGCCGCGTTCCGCATTGCGGTATGCTCCTTTCTTGAGATAACGCAAGAAAACTCAAGAAGTGTAAGACGCTGACTTGACGTCTGCGACCCTAGTTGACTCGCCAAAGGTCACATTGACCAATATTCAGTTGCAGTTTCCTGACGCAGTTTAAAGAGAGGTTTCTAACGTCGTTTTCTCTGGGCATTGCTCACTTAGGTTTCGAGATCTTAAGGACCCCTGAACTGGGGTGCTCGTATATGGTAGCCTCCGGGGGTCACGTGCCCCCTCCTTGCCAGATTATGGCATGCATCAGTGTCTGCGATGCTGTGATGGGTTGCTGTAATATGATGAAATGTTAACAGTTATGAAATCCGAGGTAAACACGTACAAATAAGGACATCGAGAACACGAAATGTTTTACGATACAATAAGAATAAGGACTGCTTTCTCAGCAGCCTTGGGTTGCGCGTGATTGTAACTACTATGTGATTGTACGTGACTGTGCGATTGAGGCGTCAACGGGGACCTCGGTGCGGTGGTATGCATTTCACCTGGTTGTACCCCAAAAATGCGTCGACGAATGAAATCGACACATATGCAGCGTATCCCGCCGGGTGAAAGAAGCATTAATGTGCTGTAGTTTAATTATCGCAAAGAAGTCTGACCATGAGCAGAACTTCGAAACATCGAGCAAGCGGCATTCAACGAAGACATGAACATGAAGACATCAAGATGGCTGGGTCTCATTTTTGGACTTATCACGTACTTGATGCGCTTCCTGACATGCCAATACAGGAGAAAATATTGTACAAATGTCGTGGACACAGAAAGGGGGCTGGAAGAAGCGATTTCCATTCGTGATCTGAAGCCTAGACCTCTAAAAAAATCAGAGTTGTTTGTCCATCCGAGTGTACATGTATCCAAGCTTCCCAGCGCGCTGCGCGATGCGCATGGACGGATCTCGGCACCAATGGCACCATCTGGTGCGCCGGATCGGCGGAAGGGCTCCGGTTCCGGTTTCGAATCGATCGGTAGAACGTGGCTCGTGACGTCGATGGTGGTGGCGCATGCACGTGCTGCGAGGATGGCACAGCACGCGGACATTATATATATATGTATATATATATATATATATATATATATATATACCTGAATATATGCATAGGTATGCATGCTTATGTTAGAGCCCCGAACAGTCAACCAGTCAGTCAGACCAAAAGCCTTATGACACACAGGAGTGCTACCGTTTCTGTTATTGGTATCAGCGTTTCGATATATACTCGGCATCATTATCAGGACACTACACGTAGTTACATAGCAGACAATGACCAGCAAAAGGCATCTACACTAAAAGAGTCGGAAGAAGTCACCAGCACGGTGCCTCCATCACCCTGGTACCCCTTCCACGTGCCAAGGCTCTGGCTATACTCCTTGGCCGGCCACAAGTACTGCTGAGGTGAGGTGCTGAGCAATACCGATCCATGTCTGTTTCGATACCATTTCATAAAGTCAAAACACGAAAATATTGCGATCTGCCCGAAAGTCACTAGGGTCCTGACTACTGAGTGTGTCATATGAGTGATATGCCGTGTGAAATAGGAATTAGTCTTAGCTTATACGGCTTATACTCGCATGACAACATACAGGCGTAACATGGTGCCAGAATTGCGCATTCCGTAACTCACATTAACTCCATTGATTTGAGTTTATGCTGTTATGAACAACTCTTTATTGACAACTGCTGTCCCTAAGGGAACCAGCATCGCTCGCCATGAATTGGAAACAGTAGTGTTGACATTGGCGGCATTTTACTGTTACCACAGGTTTTAACAATAAAGAAGAGGAACAGGTGGCAACCTGGCTCAATTGCCTGGGACCCGGTTAGATTGTGTTGGATTGGACTGGGAACAGATGGCAACCTTACTCAATTCCATTGGACCAACATCCTGGACGGGCTGCGTCCTAATGAAGATGAGCAACAAAGTCTGCTGTCAATCCTGCAAAAGTTCGACGAACTTTGCATCGGAAAAAGCAGAGAAACTTTTAAGCGATAAACGTTTAACATGCGGAACCCAGAAACTTATGAAACAAAAGATTGTGTACTGACAAAAATTGACTCCCAATGGGCATTCTGGCTCGGCAACTGGAAGTCCCAGTGCGATAAAAAATGTCCGACCTTTTTTGGGGTCGGAGACCCGGGTAATACAACTCGCTTGAACCAACTCCCCGCAAGAAATACTCGAACTCCGGTGAGGAAAGTCAAAGGACTTACTGCACTCGCTTCCCATGGCCTTTTTTTTCTCGCAGCGAGTTCCGTAACACCCCGAGCAAGTTGACTCTTCTACTTGCGCCTTCTACGAGTGGAATTTTCCACCATTGGAAGTTACGCGACTCGGTAATGGCGGATCGGTCGACTCTGTGCGTATATTGATGGGAAGCTGTGACTTGAGACGGATTAGCTGACCCGCTGGGGTGAGTTGGGTAATACGCATGCTTTCCTTCGGTCGTGCGACACACATAACTAACTCATAATATGAGCGCCATATGATCATTGTAGTCAGCGCGCCCCCAGGCCCAAATCATGATTAAATAACGACTAATATCGTATCGTAATAAGTAACGACAACGAAATTCATGTCAGTAGCGGAAGCCCTGATGTCCGCAACCACTCACGTATCGTAACGCCTGATCATCAATGCTTCCAATTCTTCATAGCACCTGATGTATCAAAACACGTAATGTTTTGTAATGTCTTAGGTATCATAACACCGAATGATTCATAACACCGAAGGTATCAAAACAACTAATACTTCAGAACACCTATTGTATCGTGACGGTTAATGTATCGGTAGCACTCAATGTTTCATGACCATTAATGTAACGTATCTCCTAATATGTTATAACACCTAATATATTACAACACCTGGTGTACCATAACCCCCAATGTTTGCGAGGCCTCATATTATTTGACGGCAGTTGCTGACTCGTACGCAGTTCTGTGCGACGGCGACGACTGTCGACGCCCCTCTCCCCTCGCTACCCAATGTTGGCTTGGGCCGCGCAATACTTTGGCTGGAATGATGCGAAAGCAGAGGAAAAATGAATCATTAAACGAAGACCCTTTTTTGACTTTTCGGCCTTGAGCACAGGGAAGGGTCCAGGAATTTCGATCTGTGGGACCCTCTCCAGAATATCAATCAAAGGGCCACCAAATCGACACAAAAAACCCTGGCTGGTAGCCTGGCTGAAATATTTTTGGATGGCCAGGCGTGACGTGAAGAGGGATCATCGCAGCACCTAATGTTCGTGACCACTGACGCCTCATAGCACCTCATGTTCGAAACACCTAATGTTCGTGACCACTTATGTTCCATACCCTCCAATATACCATAACACTTAATGTTTCATAATGCCTGAAATTCGCCACTCCTAACGCATCACAGAGCCTAATGCTCCTAACATCTAATGTTTCATAATCCCTGATGTGTCACAGCACCTGAAGTTCGTAATTCCTAGTGCATCACAAAGCTTCATGCTCATAACCTCTAATATGCCATCACCTCTAATATACAATAACCTCTAATATACCATAGCCCGTAATGAGCAACCACACATAAAGCATCGTTAGACCTAGCATATCAAATCGCCTAATGTTTCGTAACGCCTAACATATCGTAATCCCTAATGTTCGTAACCCCTAATGTATCTCAACACCTGATATATCAGAACGCCTGATGTGTAAAGTCGTCATAAGTA